GAACTGAAGCTGAATTGTATTTGATAAAAGGGCATTTTAAATACCAAGCAGAGACTGGCATTTAGCACAGCAGATGGGGGTTTGTAGTGGTGCCCAGTGTTTAGTCTTAATCAGTTTAGTTCTTGCTTTTTTGCCATGAATCCTATCCAAACCCTCCTCTTTTACCCCTTCTACCCCTACCCCACAAAAGAATTTCTGCGTTCTGTGGGAGATGTGCTTGGGAATAGCAGAGAGCACGTGTTGGCAGGGGAAGAAATGCAGAGGGTTCAGGCTAAGTGCCCAGGGCTGCTCCGTCCGGGCCCCTTTCCCGCTGCTCTAACTGCGCCTCTGCGGCCCCTGCTGCCTTTGGCTCCTCTGAAACGGTGCCCTAGGCTGCCATGTGCTCTGATCATCCATAGGGGCTTGTTCTTGGGGCTTGTTCTTCCTTTAATAATCCTACTGACTTTTCACCTAAGAGCTAAGCCATAAAACAGAACTGCCCCTTAGAGACGACATGAGGAACCTGAACTCCACTCCTGGCTTGTGTGAGGGTTGCATGGTTTTAGTTTTAGCTTTCCCCTCAGCTGCTCTTTCCAAGCATCTTTTCACCCTGTTGTGGCCAGATGCTTTAGTGCAAGCCAAGGTTGGTCTGGACAGCAGCTCTTGGCCAATAACCGTCAAGCCAACAGGGAACTACATGGAATGATGGAGTAGCCATGGGCGCTTCCAGGACTATCCTGACTCGCAGTGCGTGGACGGGGTATTTCACGCGGCAAGATTCAACTACATTATATTCTGTATTTCTGTCCTGCTCTGCGCTGCCCTTGGCAGCACCTGTGGGTGCTCTTTCCTGCGTCGCGCCGTTTCCCTGCCAGTGCGGCTCTCCTCAGGCCAGGCCTTGCGTCGTCCGTGACACTCAAGCGGGCATCTCGCCCACCCCTCGCCTGGCTCCTGGGCCTGCACCTGCAGAAATCGCTTTGGTTTTTTGCTCTTCAACTGTTTTTGGGCTTTCCCTTTAGCTTCCAAACAGTTACCACATTTCTGAAGGCCTTTTCCTACTGTGGATTTTCTACTCCACTGCTTTGGGTGTTTGTGTTTCATAGCACTTGTTTCTGCTGCTGGAGGTGGTTCTTGCTGCCCATGAGAGGAGAGGTCCATGGTGGAGGGGGTGTATATGGGGCTGTGCGTGTATGGGGGGTGTATGGGAGTGTGTGTGTATGTGTGAGTACGGGTATGTGCCCTGTGGGCTCTGCGCCGCGTCTGGGCTGTTGCTGGCTGCTCAGCTTTGCTTCCTTGGGCAGCACCTTTTCCTCCTCTAGTTTCTACCTCCTTCAACTTGTGCTGCAGCAGTGAAAGCAGCCTGGCTGGGGCTGCCTGTCAATCTTCCCGTGCTCTCCCTGGATCCCCACCACCATTCTCATTCTGCTCAGCCATACGAGTAATTCTTCCTTCTTCACAGATTATGGGAATTTGTATGCTAAAATCTGTTTCCTGGGCGCTTTTTTTTTTTTTTTTTTAAAGTGTGATCAAATTAAATCATGTATGTACAGAGGACATCAAATTTTCAAGAATGCATTCCAGGTTACATGCAATAACTTCACTGGGCAGGCTAGGCTTTCCCAAGGGACTTTGCTCTGTCATTGTGTAACAGGACTAAAATTTGATGTGAATTATTTTGAAGATTGCTTACCATTTCTGAGCCATCGACCACATGCTGTGCAATCTGTCACATGCTGTCTTTGGAACAAAGTGATAAGCAGTTGGAAAATCACCTGGTTACAGGTTTTATTGGGTACCAGAGTGGTACAATGAAGATGGGTGTAGTTTTGTGAGTGGCGATTCAATGCGTATTTGTTGTTTGGAATAGATTAATAACTACAGGACAGCTTAATTTCTCTTGGGGTTTTGTAAAGTGTGCTTCTTTCTGTGGTATATCATCTTTTTTTCATTCTGAATTTAGCTGCCTTTGGTTTTTTCTTTTTCATTTGGTACTTTCTGCTCAACCGTTCTGTGATTTTTAACATGAGTCATTCTGTCTGTGTGGGAAAGGTCTGCTTTACTCCCAAGCCCGCTCCAAAGAGGGAATGGGGGGATGTATTTGTGTTTTCTATGTGTGTGTTGTGGAAATGCATAAAACTTCTTTTTTTTTCTCTTTCTTTCCTCTCTTCATCATCTCATCTGTGTGGGTGAATGTTCCTGCAAACCTTTGGGGATCCTATAGAGACCTTTGGTATGCTCATTCTTTCATTAGAGCCCAAAGTCACAGATACTAGCAACAGTTTAAAGACCAGAAGAGTGAATAGATTTTTGCATCATAACAATGTTTAGTGGCTAAAAATGTGCACTTGAGGAAAACTTCTAAGTCATCATTTAATGCATCTTTGGATCATCACAGTGATGCTAGTGACCTTTGCCAATCACTGGTCTACTTTTTAAACAGATAAAAATTCACGCTATAAAACATGTTCTTCTGGTGCAAAAGTTGATGTTTACATATTCAGATTTTCAAAAGTATCAGAAGATACTTTTGATCAGAATCAAAAGTTCAGAAATGACTTTACGTACACAGTTGCCCCAATTACCTTGGTGATGGCCCGTTGATTCGTACAGGACTTTAGGAGCCAAAGGGACTTCTGAAAACGCAAGCAAGGTTTCCAGCAGATTGAAGGATTTTGAAAAATTGAGTCTTTTTTTCATTAAGGGGAAAGTATAATTCATGTAAAACACATCACAGAACATGAAATACATTTTTTTCAAGATACAGATTTTGTCTATAGAATTAAAACTATGCCTCGGAGTAGAATTATTTTGAAAATGCATGTTGAGTGCTGCTTTCCAAGTGAAGAGACGGAAGTGATGTGGAGTAAGAAAAGTTCTGTGTTGAAGGAGAGCTCGTGGCTTCTTGATACCATAGATTTTTTTTTCCCCTTCAACAATTTGAGTATTTCCATCTGGATCCCGTTTTTTTCACAAAGAGTATTCTTCATCCACTAAGCAGAACAGAGACAGAGATGATTTCATGTAAATGCTGTAGTATATTTGCAATTAGATTTCAATGCAGAAGATGTAGGAATTTAAATATTTCTTCATTTGAACAATGGAAGTTTCATGAGGGCTGTTTAAGACAAAAATATACTGTAATAACATGATTATTCTTTGTATGCTCAGAAAAAAAAATGAAGCAAACAAATTATTTTGTGTTTTCATCGTGCTTTACGGTGCTAAAGCAAAGTTAATGCTCTTTTCTAAGCTACAGCTGCTTAAGGTCAAAGGCTCAGCTTTTTGTAGATCTTAGTGGCCAGCTTATTTTTTTTTCTTGGCATTAAGATAATGTTCATGTTACTTTGACAGAAATTGATTTTTAAAAAATTTTATCATAGTCATGAGCTCAGCTCTCCTAGTGGAAGAAGAGCCATCAGTCAGTACTTGGGCTGTTCTGAGCTTCCCTTTTTGTAGCAGGAAATTGTTTCATGGCACAGGAAATTGTACTCTTTTCTCAGATCGGAATCATTAAAAGTCATTAAATGAGTAACCACTGTATTTTGATAACGATAGGCATATTTTCCCTATTTGGGATAAATGTACCAAACTTGCACTGGTTACTCACTAAACACTGATAAGTCCCAGTTGGATTTCATATCCATTTAAATAATTCCTTTGATGGAAACTGTTTTCTCAGTCCACGTATCCCTAAATGTAGAGGCAACAAATATATTCCTCATCTCCGATACTGTTTTTTTTCTCTTAAACTAGAACTGCTGACTGGATACCCTGTTTTAAACACCTCACTGGTGTTTAGGTCTGCCGTAACCAACCAACTTCCCGCAGGTTTTCATAGCTTGCCCTTGTTTTGCTGCTGCTCCATGGGAGCCCCGCAGCTCCCGCGGGTGTTTTGCTGCCCTCCTGGTTCCCCAGGCCAGGGAGCAAAGAGCAGCAGCCGCCCGCCCGGCCCCGGCAGAGCCCGCTCCTGCCCTGCCCTGCGCTGCCGCACGGTCCCCGCTGCCACCAGCCCTCCTGGAGGGGACGCGCTCACGTGTTCGCCTTCCCCACATGGTGATTGCTTACAGCCCGCCATGACCCTAAATGCAATAAGCATCAGAAGATAAAATACAGTTACTAAACTGCTTATTTCTAGACTTCGCCCAGAATAGTCTTAGCACATTTCTGAGTATTTTTAGAAATTGCTTATGGTGGAATATAGCACAGAAAAGGCAACATTAATAATGTGATATGACGTGGAACGTTTCAGGGAGGACACAACTGGTATGATGTTTTATTCTCAATTCTGCAGCTTTCACAGAATCCCATCAAAGCCCGAAACCCTTTTGCTTGTGACTGTGCGTTAAGTAATCTACACTGATCTGCCTGATGATTAATATTCCAAAAAAGAAAAAATTATCTGAATAAAATATATTGGTGCACATTTTAAACAGCCAGAAACTTGCTATTATTTCATTGCTGTAATCTTAATGCAGGGTTAATATTTAAAGTATTTATTCTTTGACTTGTGGGCATATCTAATGTGCAGTGTTTTTGTAGACCTGTGTTTTGTATTTGCTTGCAATAATGCTGTGCATTTGGTACCTGAGCTTGCAAACAGCCTTTAAATAAAGGTGATGGCTGGAAGAAAAAAAAAATGGAGGGGATGGGGGGAATGAGAATGACATTATGATCATTCTACTATTAAAAAACTAACTTTTAATTAAGAAAAAAAGTTATCTTTGTGGCATGGTGATTCATAAATGTTAAACATTTGGGGATTTGTTTTGCCGGGCCATTTAAGAAAGCCATATGTCACCTTAAAGCCTGCTTGTGTGTAGAGTGTTGTGAGTTATTAGAGCTGAAGTAGTTTGACTTGTGTAGAGCGATGTAGAAGCCTTAGATTACCTCTAGACACCAGAGAAGTTTGAGATGCTCCTGCTCACTTACAAATTATATGACCTTAATTCTTTAAAGAAGCATCTCCATTGCATCCATGATGAAGTATATTAATAAGAATTTTTTTTTCTGTGTGTTTTCAGTGAAAGAGTTCCTAGCCAAAGCCAAAGAAGACTTTTTAAGAAAATGGGAAAGTCCCCCTCAGGTATAAACCATTTGAGCATTCAGTATTTTTTTCTGTTGCACTTTTTTTCTTTTTTTGTAGTGTATTATCAGTTTGTGATGAGCAAGACAGAAAGCCAGGTTAAGTTTAATGCATTTTTTAAGAGAGTTTCCATTCTGAATGTCTGTTTTATCACTTAAGCTTCAGTCATCAAAGATTTTTATTTCTTCTCTGGATTTGAACCCAAAGATGAGGAAATGGTTGCACTGTAGAGCAGCTTGCTTGTACCCAGAATGATGTTTACAATAAGCCTGAGAAAGCTCAAAATGTGTTAACGTGTTTCAGCTGGCTCTTTATATAATACTAAGCTTTGGCAAGTCTGCAATTTACCTTGTTAATAACTTCCCCTGTAGTATTAAGAAGTAGTCTACGACATGGGATGGGGGAGGAGGTTAAGGAGCAGGTTAGAGAGAAATTCTTAATTTTTTTCATTTAAAACTTTTTTAAAAAAAAAACAGCATTTGAAATGCTATAGTGATGAATACCTGGAAAAAATTACTTAATGATGTGATCTCTAGACAGATGTCACATACTTGTCTACTGAACTTGGTTCAAGGATTTTTGGAGACTTTAACATGCTTATTTGTGATTATTTATCTGTATGCTAAACCTCTGAGTTGTTTACAGCTCAATTCTTCTCAATGAGAGTGTGTCATCTCTACTGATGATTTACAGTAATGCTGGTACAATCAGTTAAATAGTTTTCTGTTTTAATCAGTACAGTATCAAATATCTTCCTAAAACTTCATAGTCATGAAATTACATTAGCACTACAATTGACTCTAGTTTGTTGTCTGTGATAAATACAATTTTACCCAACCCTTTTAATAAATTATTTCATTGCATCTTGTTAAAATTGTCTTGGGTATTTATAAATAATGTTGTTCTGTCCTTGTACATATAGAATACTGCTGGCCTAGATGATTTTGAAAGGCAAAAAACTCTTGGAACAGGATCATTTGGGAGAGTTATGTTGGTGAAACATAAATCCACAGAACAGTATTATGCTATGAAGATACTGGACAAACAGAAGGTTAGTGTAATTTATAATGTTTTTTTTTTTTCTGATACAAATGGCAGCTTTAGAATTAGAATAGGTGAAATTTGCAAGTATGCACCCGTGATCTGACCAAAAAAAAAAAAAAAAGTTACATTGCTCTTTTTTTTTTATGCTGTCACAGTGAACCTTTTCTGCTTTTAGGGGTACTTTTTGTTTCTTTGATGTTACAATATGTTGTATTTTTTTCCTCATTGCTGAGCATTTTAATTTGTATTCTTTGTTTTTATTGAATAAGTGAACTGACAGCTTCAGTGGGAGCTGGTGAGCTTAGATGATTGCAAAAAAGGCTTTATGGGTCCATGCATATGTATTTACTGCTATTTTTGATTGCTGAGAAAACCAGCCTCTTCAGAAGACTTTGTTCTGAGGCCACAAGAAAGCGCTGTAAAAAACATGTTGCATGCATTGCATATTGCAGGAATTTTTCTGCCATTGTTACTTTGCTGCACTTCCTGCACACTGCAGCAGATGCATACAGGAATATAAGACACAAACAAAAGCATTGTCTCTTAAAAAGCAGCAAAACTTCTCAAGTTGAATATTCACCTATGAACTGCGTAAGTTCAATGCAGGCAAAGGTCTATAACTGTGGCTAAGCGATGTGTTGTATTTATTCTGCTTTTGCTTCTCATATTTGGGTGCTAGTCGTATTTTAGTAGGGCTGCTCCTCCCACCGCCGCCGGGTCGAGGCTCGGCCTCCTCGAGGCCTCGTGCCGGGGGCCGGCCTGGCCGCCGGCTCCCGGGAGCTTCAGCCAAGAGCCCCGCTCCTTCCCGAGCCAGCGCGTCCCAGGAGTTTGGGAGAGAGCCCGGATGCGCTCGAGCTTTCCGCCTGCTCTCCCTCCCTATGCCTGGAGTTGCTGTGTGGCTGTCCTGTTTTATCTTAGTCCAGCTGCTGTTCTATCTACAACAACAACAAAATCGTGGTGCTGTTTTATCAGAGGAGAGTGTACTTTCTCTTTTTAATTGAGAATGCTGTTCTTTGGGCTTTCTTTCCTGTCCTCCTGATCAAATATCAGCTCTTTGATAGCTCATCAAATGCACAGCTATATTTTCTTTCCAAATAATCTACCAGGGTCAGCAACTGTATTCCCTGGAGGGTTCACTGGTGGTGACCATAAAGTACAGGCCTGCCTACAATCACCTTAAAATAAAATGCTAAGTCTGAAGACAAAATGGATGGGCCAGTTGTGTCCCTTTCTAATCCAATCCTATCCTTGGGTCATCTGGATATGAAAAAATAAAAGAAAATATGGCATATATTGCTGTAGCTGGCAGGTTTATGTGTAGGGTTGATATTCCCTCACTTGTCAGCCTTTATTTAGCGTGTCAGTAACATAATGCTGCTTGGTGAGTTTCCTTACCTAATTGCTTTAGGAAAGAAAAAAATACGGGTAGCAAAATCTGAAGCATATATAGGTACTATCTTTTGTCTGTAGAAGATTTTAAACAGTTTTAGTCAGGGTTGGCATGTCTTGCAAATCTCTTATAGCTGTTAGGTTTGACTTCCAGATATCAAAAAACAATGATTTGTTTTTACAGCCTCGTAGATTTTCTTGTGTTCTAGGTGCTGTTAATAATAATAATAATAATAATGACAAACACCGAAAAAAATTGGTTTTCCTGTCACTCTCAAAATAAGATATAAACGAATTATTGATTAAGGAAAATTGAAGGTGGGGGAGGGGGGAAGATTATGCGATTAATTTTGACAGGAAACCAAAGTCCTGGCAGCTGAGGAAGAGCAATGATCAGAATTCTGCTGCTGGTCCTGGTAGCTTAGCATTGTAAACAACACCAAAGAGAAGGTAGTATTCTTCTCCTTTTCTTTTTTTCTTTTTCTTTCTTCTTTTTTTTTTCTTTTTATTAAATTCCTAATTAAATGTCTGATGTGATTTTCTGACTTTTTAGCAAAGAGTCCAAAGATCAAATTGATTTTATTACACTATCATTTGCTTCGTACAGAATATTTTCTTTACTGTTTCTTTTGCACTCTGGGGATTTCTATAGCCACCTGCAAACCAGGCTTCATGAGTACTACGTTTTGCAATATGGTTATACTTTTTAATCTTTTCTCAGTGCTATCTGTGAATTCAGGAGTCTGCTTTCAAGTAACTGAATTACACTGTAATCTTAATAATTAACGAAATGCCATGGTTAAAATGAAGATTGTGTTTTCCTAGGTTGTCAAACTGAAGCAAATAGAACACACGCTGAATGAAAAGAGAATATTACAAGCAGTGAACTTTCCTTTTCTTGTAAGACTGGAGTATTCTTTTAAGGTAATTATTGTTTTGAAAGTGGTGGCTTGAGGTCTAGGGAGGTGCACACTCAAACTTTTGTCATTAATACATTAACTTTACAATACAAGAATTTCATAGAAATTTCATAGAAATATATTTAACAGCCTTTAGAAATGGTTAACACAAAATAAATTAATTATCCATTATAGGTTTATATAAAAAACCTTTGTCCTTTGTGTCTCATCTAGAAAACAATGACACGCTCTGGGATGCCTGTTTAAACTCTCTCTTGAAGGGCACTGTGGATTTATAAGGCCTGAGGACAGCAGTGTCCTGAGCTGCCAGGGCTCAGCCAGGAGCCCACGAGCCAGTTGTTCCTTGTGGTCTTCGTGGTCCCGTCTGCTCCAAGGGCACCTCGGGCAGCCCTCACCTGAGGAGCCCGGGCTGACCTTGGCTGGGAAGTTACCACCAGCACTAGCTCTGTCTCCCTCTCTGCTGGAGGTTACTGTCTCCCCTCAAAAGCTGGCAGAACAGAACACGTGTTCACACTTTCCATTTTAATAAAAACTCTTGTGTCCTAGTGTAAAGGACAGGTCAAGACAGCTGCAGATTAAGATACAGGAGTTTGCACTGAAACTGCTGAGGGGCTGCCTGTGTTCTCCACTTGGCCATGGGTGTTTGGCCACTGCTAAATCCGGGTGCCAAAACTTGTTCAGGAACTGACTGAGATGCATCAATGGTCATAAATGTTTACAAGTTCCTGCGTGTACACAGAGATGCCCACACCATTTCACCAGATGCTAATCAGAAGACTATCTTCAAAACAGACGGAACGCAAACTCCCAAAGGTTTTCCATGTTTTTGCAGGAAATTGGTCGTTGTACAGGCGATAGCTTTTAGGCAGCATTCTATCTTTGAGAGAAACCAAAGCTTGTACTTCACAAATTTTCTATAAAATTTGTAATAGTTCTGTAGATATTGAGAGAGATTTACATGAGACAAGTCTTAATGACAATCTTGACCAGAGAAGAAGAGCTTTGAGATAAGCTTCTAAATTCGAGACCGTATGCACTAGGCAATCTAAAGATTGACTGTTTTGCTAATGAAGTGATGCATGTCCTCCAAAATTATATAAAAATATGCATTTATTAAGATTAGGTTATTCCTTTGGTCGAGTGAAGTGTGCCTGCACTTTGAAGAATTTCTACTGGGTTACCCTACAATTGTTAAGAAAATCCAATGATTTTTCTTTCTCTTGTTCATTCTTTAATAAAACAAATTGCACTTGGGAAGTTTTTCAAAAAGGTTATAGAAAGTCTAATATGTCACGTGTGTTTACTTGATTCCTTAGGATAATTCTAATTTATACATGGTAATGGAGTATGTCCCTGGTGGCGAAATGTTTTCGCATTTAAGAAGAATTGGAAGGTTCAGGTAAGAGTCTTAATGATATTATTCCTTTGAAAAGGCTTTATGTTGCTAATTTGTGAGAGGAGAGAGAGTTTCATAAAACATAAGAAACGAAACTTGAAAGAAAAGAGTAAGTAAGTGCTTTAAATTTTGCCTTTTCCTGGTATACTAAAATAATCAGGGAGTGGAAAACTTGTAATTACTTTTATTACTATTCAGTTAGTTAATGCAGGCTTTCATGATCTATGCAAGATATGAACTTGGAAGTAATATTCATAGTCACTGAAACTGATCAGTTTCTAAAATTAAAATCTAAGTTTTTCTGCAAGTTTTAGGCTGTAGAATATACTCATCTTGATTTGACTATGTGATTTAAAATGAAAATCTGAAGAAACTAGATTTAGAGAAAAGTTTTAACTATAAAATGCTTGCTAATTACCTTTTTTGTATTACACAGTAAAGGAAACAGCTAGAAGATATTTAGATAGTCTCTCACTGACAATCGTGTGGTTAATTCAGTATCTTAATATAGCGTGGGGACGGTTAATGTTGTTTTACTTCTTTGCAGTGAACCACATGCACGATTTTATGCAGCTCAGATAGTACTAACGTTTGAGTACCTCCATTCATTAGACCTCATCTACAGAGATCTAAAGCCTGAAAATCTTTTAATTGATCAGCAAGGATACATCCAGGTATGAAATCCTTCATATATTTAGGGAGAGAAGCCTTGTCTGGTTTTGCAGGCTACATAATTTTAAGAAATGTGTTTGAAATAAGTTATCTGTTGAAGCTGCTTGGCTTGTTAACTTATATTCAGGGAACATTAAAATACTCTATGGCTTAACAACAGTTGAAACTCTCGGATTTAACTTCTGCTGACGGAAAATTGTTTGGTGGATATGTCTGTGTTTGAGCAAACTGTCAAGTTTTTCCTCATGATCTGTGGAAAGAAGTAGATATCTGTGTGTGTCTGTTCATTTGACCTATTTTACACATCAGCCCTGGAATGAGATGAGAAGTGCCTTAGGACTGGGCAGTTTAGATGCTGGCATCTACAGTAAGTACCTGATTTCAACTGAATGAATCCCCTTCTTGGAGAGTCCTAACTTCCTCAGGAAATCTGGAGTAAGAGCTGAGTTGAGCAGAAGGCGGCAGTTTCCCTGTGCGTGGAGCCCGAGTGTAACATGAGCAGAATCCCTGCAGACAACAGTCACAGGCAGAGAAGCCCGGCAGCCAAAAGCACAGGGAAGCACTGCCAGTGTGGCTCTGAGGAAAAGCCAAGGAAGGAAGCTTGTGCAGCAGGGTAGTGGATCTCTGAGCAAAGGGGCTGCCTTCATGTGATTATTATTGCTAGTGTTTACTTGCATAATAAGCAAAAAAAAAAAAAACAGAATTTAAAATACATATATTTTGTTTGTGGAAACAAAAGTTTGTGTGCATTTTTGATAGATGCACAGAAACATAATAAAGCAAAAACTTTTCCTGATCAATTCTGTTTGAAAGAAACAATCTGCAAGTACTCAAATACAGATAGATACATGAGCCGCATACAGTGCAAGTGTCATCAAGAGTTGTAAGACATTATAATTTCCAAAAAGCTCACATAAGGCCTTATTTGAATTTGCCTCTAGTAAGTTAGATCTACAGCCCTTCAAACAATGGAAGGGAGAATTACTATTTAGGTGATTGAGTCATCAACGCTATAACTGAAATTTAAGAAACAAAATATCTCGATCTTTTTTATCCACTCATGACCTCAAAGCATGAATAGAACTACAAATGATTCAGGATAGTTTGTAGGTGGGATAAGAAAAAGGATTGTTTGCAACTGGTGTGCTTTTGGTAAGTTTTCCTTATAATGCATTTGTGAAAAGGTTGTATATTAATAATTTCATGTTGATGTTGTTGAAAATAATAGCTTCTAGATGAACATATGTGATCTTTTGATGGCAACGCATCCCAACTTGAGAGCGTACTGAGAACTGTTGACATTATGCCATGATTTCTTACTTGAAATTCCTTGTCATCCACATGATAAAATACCTTTGTGCTGAAGTTGTGCAGTTATCTTGCCTTTTTGCAATTGCTTGCTTTCTGAAGTAATTTTTTATGAATAGAACTTGAGTGACTGGTATGTGTGGTGAGCAGGTGGCTTCCTACTGAGCTCACTTACAGAACTGTTAAAACTTGGAGTGATTTTTCTTGTTTGTTTTGTTGGGTATTTTTCTGTTCCCATGATACATTCTCTGAATGTAGTAATTGGCAAGGCACTGTGTATGTTGTACTCATGATGAAAATGAGAAAACTTGTTCTGAAGTACTTAGTAAATCTTCCTGTCTTTATGGACACATCTATCTATATTCGGTAGCGTTCCGGTGTTTCTCTGGTTGCTTTTCTTTACACAGATTGCATCTGGTGCTAGTTTGTTTACAGTAATGTTCAGGACTCAGGAGATGAGATCCACCTGTCCAAATTCAGATGTCTTCCAAGTAGTGTCTGTGATATCAGTTTACAATTTATTCTGTACATTCCCTGTATTGCCAGTGGAGAGAAACATATGACTTCAGGACATGATTCATTTTTCCTAATATAACAAAGATCAAGTGAATCAGACTCTAGCACTGTCTGATTTTTTCCATTGACTGGAAGAGTCTGGATTATGAGCCATTTACAATATGGATGTCTAAAATGAGGGGAAATGAATTCCATCCTTGATGATAGGCTATTTGTTTCTTTTCAAATACTCTGGTTTGCAGCCTTATTCACTTTCTTAGTGTTTAATCGCATCTGAAGTCAAATAGCAAATGGGTTCAATGCCTTATATGCTGCATACCAGGGTGTCCTGTGGTTCCCCTTTCCTTGTCTCCTGGGGAGAAGCGGGAGTGCTGGAAGTCTTCAAGGTGAAATGTTGCCGACAAAACACTTCTGTCACCATCACCAAACCAGATGGTCAAGTGGACTGTTCCTAAGCTAAGATGAAGTACATGGGAGTTGTTTACAAGGAAGCAGAGTACCAAGATTGGACTTTACATAATCGCACGTGCCAAATACCTGCCCCTATTGAGATGCTGGACAAGAATTTGTCTCAGGATCCTGAAGGATGTTTTGAAGGCCTCCGAAGACAATGCAGGGGACTTGACACTCACAGTGAATCTGAGGATGCAAGTATGTCTGGAGATTAGACTTCTTCATTGCACAAGACACCCAGCAAATAAAGCAGGACCAAGAGCTCCCTGCCATGGGCCTGGAAACTCAGTCCTCCCGCTTCACAGTTGGGCTTGCATCCTTCCAATCTGATTTTCGGTCAGCCAGTAGCCCTGTGGAGGATGTTGGTAAGCATTTTTTTGGCACGTGTGTGTGCGTAGTTGATATTATAAGTATGATAAAGATCAGCTTTTCTTTTTTCTTTCCTAGGTTCATACTGGATGCTGCTTCATCTATCTGAATCTGCTCTGAATATGCTCAAAATCTCAACTATGAGAGCATCTCAGAATTGCAGTGCTGCAAATGGCTTCTGCTTTACAGCTTCTCACGCACCTCCTCATCTTCCTTTTAGTTCCTATGTTTATGTAATCAAAATGAGACAAGCAGGAAGGCGGCAGCAAGCACTCTGCAATGCTTTGCAGTCTTTTTATACAATGGAAGCTTCTTCCTCCTTGTGTCCTGCCTTGCCAGAATCAAACAGAAAAATTCGTAATAATTTTTTTTTTGAGTGGGAAGGATTCATATTTTGTGTTTTCTAACTGTAAAATAAAATTGCATTCAGAACAAAATAGCACTATAGGAAGGAAGGAAATAGATTTTGCTAATGCAGTTGGGAAGCACTGTGAATGGGAAGTTATTTGGAACTTCCTGCAGGATTTTTGGCTCTTTCATATGCAGTGATGTGTTGTGGTGGTGGTGGCCAAGCACTAACGGTAACAGGTCTTGCAGTCAGTCTTCCCATGCAAGTTGGTTAGTTGCCACTGCTGGCCAGGGAAGGGGTTTTGTGCTCATACGTGGATCCTGCCGCTCCAGTTTGGGTTCTTGGAAAGAACAAGCATCCGTGTGTTTTTCCTCTTTGAATTTTGCAGCCATTTCTGTCCATGCCACATATGCAGTGCATTTTTCTTACGTGGACTGATACCCATTCATAACCACGCAAGTAATTTGGTGTTGACTGAAGCAGGTCTATATTGTGAGCCTGTTGCCCTTGCTGTTTAGTTCAATGGGTGCATGATTGGTGGTATTTCTGTGAAAACTGCAATGAAAGCTGATTTGTGTCGAGTTTGACTTGTTGAACTGTGATTGTGTGACAGAAGTGTATCAGAGCCAGCAGCTCAGACCATGGCATAGTTAGCAATCATTATTGTTGTGGTATTGTGGGCTTTCTTAGTGAATGGTTTGAATATGGATCCTGAAACAACTACAACCTTCGTAGCTTGAACCCAATCTCAGTATTTTACTTGCATACTGCTGGCTCTATATGTATTATGCAATATAGTACAGGAAAAATTCTGCAGAGGATGATGAGATAGTATGGAAAGTGCTGAGAACTTTCTCCAGAAAACATGACAAGTGGAAAGAAGGTTTTGTAATGAAAAAGAACTTGCCATTTGTGAATACAATTACTGCTTAATTTGTCAGGAAACATTGCATTACTCCGTAACGTTTCCCTGGGAGACGTGCAGATAAACAAGCTGGACTCTGGCAATGCTGTGAATAATGCTCAGAAACAGAACTTACTGGAAGACTTCTTTTTTGTTGTCCAATTCCCACAGTAGTTTTCATATAACCTTTATACACTTGTGCAATAAAAATTTCCAAATTTACAAGACTTGCTGATATCTTGACCCTTTTTGTGATCCATTTGTTTCTCCACTAAAGGAGAAGATAAATATCTTGTTTACATTAGCGTTCTTCAGCTTTCAACAATATAAACAGTCTGTGAAAAGTGTAGGAAAAAAAATGATTAATGTGATTACAATACATAGATGAAACTAATAAGTCATAGTTTCCGCTGATTTTTGAATTATAATTAGTAGCTTGTGCAGCTTTGGGAATATCTGTTTTGCATTATTTATTTATTTGTTTTGTCATGAGAGACCTAAAAAAATTCAAATAATCTGAATTCAAATATCAGAAAAATTGACTACCTAAGATGCAACTAACAACGTAACACCATGCAATCCGAAAGACAAGTTATTTCTCTGTATAAAATTGCTTTCTGCATAATTTTATGTTTTAATGTCTCTGGAAAAGTGTAATTACAATCATTTCCTTTTCTACTGATGGCAGGTCACAGACTTCGGCTTTGCAAAAAGGGTAAAAGGAAGAACTTGGACGTTATGTGGAACTCCAGAATACCTGGCACCTGAAATAATCCTCAGCAAGGTAATCTTTTGATTTTTCTTGTTGTTCAGACCATGTACTAGATGCAGTTAAAATTATCCACCAATTATTAAACTCTGAGCTTTAAATAGTTGCTGATGCTCTGAAGATCAAGTCTTGACTGATCAACTCTTATTGAAGTATACAAAATAGAATTGATCCAAGTATTTTGTAGTATTCGGGGGTTTTTGTACAGCGATAGAGAACTCTGCGTATGCTTCTCTATAACTTGTAAAGGAAAACAGGCTTTAAAGAAGCTGTAGTTAGGTTATTTAATTAGTGTCCTTATTGCAACAGCAGGTGTGAGTGGTTACATTGCCTTTTGTTTTTACTGTTAAATAGGATTTATTTAATGACTTTGGGCTCAGGCTTTTGAAGGCCGTGTCATAAATGGATCAACCACAGCTAATTAAGTACATTTTTAAGCTTACATAGATAACTAGTTTACCAAAAATGAAAACTTCAGTATACTGAAATATGAGTAAACAGTTAGAAAGATGACAGTATGCAGTGTAGGAAGCACTCTTATGTGCAGTGACATTTCTTTATGTTTTAGAAGAAGTTTTAATATTTCTTTAATAGGAAGAGAAGCAATCGTGCTTCTCTCTGTTACACAGTTGTCACACCCTTGTAAAGGGATCTCTGAAACTCTGCACAGGAACACACACAAAATGTTTCAGGTTCACCAGTGAGATATGTTTTAGGAATACAAGTTATTGACATTAGAGAGCTTTGGCTCGTTTTGAGTTAGACAGTAAGTTCTGTATTAAACAGGCAAGAGTTTGCTTTCCTTGTATTGTACAGACATACTGGAAATCCTGCACTATGTTAAAAGAGATACAAACAATAGTATTTCTCATTTTTATTCTAGGGTTACAACAAGGCAGTGGATTGGTGGGCATTAGGAGTGTTAATTTATGAAATGGCAGCTGGATATCCCCCGTTCTTTGCAGATCAGCCCATTCAGATTTATGAGAAGATTGTGTCTGGCAAGGTGGGTGAAGTCTGCCTGTGTTTCTGAAAATGCATTTTGCACTTCTCGTTCTCTGCAGAACGTGACGTTTGTTCGGAGTTGATACAGAATTCACTGGTTGTTAGATACTTAGCAACTTGAACAAAGTGTGGGCAAAGTTCCTAACGTGTATTACTCAAGTACAGCCATTGGTACTGTCAATAATAAAATGGATGTTTTTAAAAATGGATATTTGCTACCTTTATTGGTCTCTTCCTTCACCTTTAAAATGAAAGTTAATAGATTTACAGACATTGCAATATCATATCATATTACACTTGGATAAAATCAACAACTATTAACAATGATTTATGTATGCTTTAACTTCCCCGGCAGCTTGCCCAAAAATGTTTATTTTTACAGCTGGTTAGAAGCTCTAAAGAGTTGCCATATTCAGAGGAGGTTTGTTCTGCAACAGCAAAGTCCTGTATTTGTGGATCCGTTTTATGTTCTATCCAGTCTTCACTGCTGTATAAAATTGTTAAAAACATTTTGCCGATTTTTCCATATTGTTCCTCATGGCAGCCTCTTCCTGTGCTCAAGTGTGACAGCGGGGGGTTGTTTCTCCTGCTGGAGCCTGTCTCGCGGCGCTCTGCTCACTGGGTTTGTCACAACTCTTCTCTTCCTTGCTCACACCCCGTGCTGGCCGGGGTCCTTATAGCCCTGGCCAGAGGAAGGGCCGTAGCAGACACTGCGCTAGGCTGCCTCGTAGCCTCCTTAAATGAAGCATTTAAACGAAGAAGGGCTTGTTGGTTTGTGTGCTGACAAACCCCCTTTCGCAGGGGAGGCAGAGTTGCTTCAGCTCCTTGAATCAACTAAGACATATCAGCACAAGTACCCTGAAGTGATGTGGAAAAACAGATCTGCTCCAGTCTAAAATTGAAGGCTCATTTTTAATTCACATCTCTCTGGCTCCATGTTGTTGCAGTAAGGGGAATGCATATATTTCTGTGCTGTGTATTCTCTTAAGTTAGAGTTATCTTGAGATGTAAAAAGAAGGGAGCTAAACATGGGTTAATTCATGAGGAATTTCTTTGAAATTACATAAAATAACAAAAATGACCATGTTATATGAGCATGGTATAATTGGAAGAAAAGGCATTAGCTGCATAAAGGTGCTACTGTACAATTAGGCTGGAGTGTAAATTTACGATGCAGTAAGTGCTTTATGGAAATTCCTCTTGTCAAACACCTTTTTCAAAAGGGGTAGAATAGTTTCTTTTAAGAGCCCCATGAGCACTTTATTCACAAAGCTTCTATACTGTAAATACCTAGTCCCCTGTGCAGTATCGTCCCGCATCAACAGCCACGTGGGAGGAATGTGAGGGATGACGTGAAGAAAAGGAGGTGCGGAGGGCTCCGTGCTGCTTTCCGTGGGGCAGGTGGTTGAATGTCAGTGGCTAAATCCATGCTAAATGTTCAACTTCTTTTCTTTTAGACTAGCGATAAATATAGTATCTAAAGAGGTTATATTGAGTAAAGGCTCTGTGATTTGGCAGAAATTAACCATCTTGTGGTTTGGTATGATTGCTTTTATTTAAATTCATCTGATAATTATTTGCTGTAAACACTAAATCAAAGCAATCGGAGTAGAATTGTAAAATCAATGATGAAATTAAACTATTTTTAAACCAAAAAATAGAGGTCCAAAAGTACATAACCTCTGCAGGTCAGCTAGTATTTTCTGTTTGTGGGAACTGTATGTCAAGCTAGTCATATCCCCCAGTAAATTAGTAAAGGAATCTTTAGTTAAGGTAAGAAATAGCTGGAGTATTGATTTTTAAAAGAAGCCCAAAATGCATTTAATTTTCTTTTTTTTCAGTCTACATAAAGATTTACTAGGTCATTAAATATTAAATTATTCTCTTTGCCATTGCTGTTTCTGCCCAAAAGCAGCGTATGTTTCATTCCAGCAAATTCAGCTGAAACTGAAGTGTTTGGAATGAGCTGGTGCACCTCGCACAGGGAGCTGTCTGCATTCCTTCCTAATGGCCTGAGGAGCAGGGGGCGAGGAGATGCCGTCTTTATAGACAGTTTCTTTCTAACTGGGACTTTGCTCTTGCTGAGGCAAAATGATTTAATGACCGAAATAGCTGCTTGAGCATCTAACAAATGTTAAAGATCTGTTACATTGAATTAAAGGGAAATTTGGAAGAAAGGTAGTTAATACATGTGATATGTGTTGAAGAGACTGCACAAACAGCTGACCTGCATTGACCTTAGCCATTTACATACCTGTGCTGTAACTAAACAAAACTACTTACAGCTGAGCCTGGTAAGGCCACCTGAATGTTTCTTGCAGAATGCAGTGAAGTAACGATGAAAGGAAAGCAGGAACAATATTAAATTTTTTTAAAAAAAGTAAACATAACTTCGGAAAGTTACATTTCAGTATTCAGTCAGTGCACTTCATATAACTTACTTTTCTTCTAGTGTTTCATTTGTTAAGCAAAATTAATAACGGTGTAGTAATTATGAGATCTAGGTAATTTTGCTTTTCAGTTTACTGCCTTGGTTAGGGAGAAAGAAACAACTCATTCTCAGGCAAAAGCAAGAAGCATCAAAATACAAGCAGTAATAGAAAACAGAGAGACGAAGGGAAGAAGTGGCAAATATAGTATTAGGCTATAAATAGATAGACTTCATTTAATGATCATATCTGATAAGCTTAAGCTAGTTCCTAGCTAAGTGTGTCTAGTTTGTTCACCCCTTAATGAGTCTGTCAGACAAGTATGTTTTGGAAGTATATTCTGAAGATTTCTAAAGAAAATAAATTACATCTAATTTATTCTGTATTTTT